AGGCGCGGGAGCAACGCCGAGGGTTGCAATCCTGTTGCCGGTCCCCGGTCCGGTACGGGGGCAACACTGAGGGTTGCGATCCATTGCCGGACACGGAAAAAGACAAAAGACAAAAAACAAAAACAAAAAAAAACATAGTCCTTGTGGGCCGGCCCAGTGGCGCACTGGATAGTGCGCCGCTTGGGAAGCTCGGCGGCGCTCCCGCCCGAGGGTTCGGATCCCACATACAGACCGGTTCCCGCTCACTGGCTGAGCGAGGCGCGGGAGCAACGCCGAGGGTTGCAATCCTGTTGCCGGTCCCCGGTCCGGTACGGGGGCAACACTGAGGGTTGCGATCCGTTGCCGGACACGGAAAAAGACAAAAGACAAAAAACAAAAACAAAAAAAAACATAGTCCTTGCCCTTGAATAACAGGTCTCCCAATAAGGGGTCGATTCAATGTCTACCACCTTTTTTTTCTGGAGCCTTCCTTATTCCTGTGTGCACAAACTCAGGACAACATTCACCATTTCCCCAGTGGAAAAACTAAAGTGCCAAAAGTCAGCAACCCATTAAGGAGTTCCTGTCCTGTGTTCATTTTGTTCAGACACATGTACAGTTTTCTGTGTTTCTCATGATGAGGTTGCTTCTTTGGAAGCTGAGAGTTATATAACCTTGGTCTGAGGCTGCCTATTTAGCACCCCTGGAAGACAATAACCTTTTCCCTTTGTTACTAAGATTTTCTCATTACCTTCCCATTTCAAGTTTTTCTGTTGAAAGATAAACTCACAATACAGTGGGGAAATTCTGGACCCAAACATGGACCTTATTTATGATCCTGCTCTTATGCTAAATCTAAGTCTGAATGCAGCCATAGGGAATTTAGGAAGAGGCTCCATTTTTAGAGATATCACATCTAAGGAGGACTATTATTTTCTTAAATTTAATGGATATGTGTGTTAGAGCTTCATTTGGAAAAACAGAGTTTTTAAAGGTCTAGATAGAAGCTGTCTTAAAAGAGAAGCTTTCAAAAGAAAAAAATATAAATGAGTATATTAGCACATAGGTTGTTTGGCATTATTTTGGACATTCTTCAGCTTAAACAAGGGCTTTGAATTTTGATTTTAGGCATTTTTGTCAACTTACATAATGGGAATAGTTTTTTTTTTTAAAGGAAACTTTTAAAATGTTTAATTATTACCTTGAATAAAGTGCCAAAATATTGTGTACATGCAGAGTTCCCAGAAAATGCTTAATAAATACTCATTGTCATTCTTTGTCCTTCTTTCCCAGAAATCAAAACCCAAGTTTTACATGCTTTCTATGTTCCCTTATCCTTCTGGCAAGCTGCACATGGGCCATGTGCGTGTCTACACCATCAGTGACACCATTGCACGGTTCCAGAAGATGAGAGGGATGCAGGTAAGGAAAAATGCCTGCTGGAACAGCCCTTGTCTGCCCCACTGAGGACAAGAATGTGGTAATACGTGTTTAAGACAAATGAAGAAAACCAACTTCAGTTAAGATTAGGACAGCTTTGCAGATGAACATGAAAATCTCAGTGCTGCCTTTTATGCATCAGGAGACATTACAGTAAAGCATCTAGTGGAATTGGGCGGCAACCATGTGTTGGGTGTTGTGCTAGGGATGGAGATGGGTGGGGGCAGGGGGAAAGAAAGATGCAAATGTGGGTAACCGCTGCTATCTTCCCAGGAGGAGCTCATCCATAAATAGAGGGACTGAAGCCAATAGTACAGATATGGATCAAATGCTGTGAGTGGCAGGTGGGGCCACAAGAAATTTTTTTCTATTTGATATTTTCTGTATTCTCTAATGAGTGTGTATTTATTTTACAATAGAAAAAATAAAATTTTGTAAGAAAAAAATATTTGGGAGAGGTAACAACTCCAGGAAGCTGGAACAGGCTCGACTAAACAGGGAACATCTGACATGGGTCTTGAAGAACCAGGTGAAATTTATCAGAAGAGAGGAAGACAAAGACCCTTCTTTGGCTGTTGTGGGTCTGTTCCCTTTGCCCATTACCCCAGAGCCTGCTCCTTACTCTTCAGCAACAGATCATCCCTGATGGGGTGGGGATAATCATTAATACCTTCTTTAACCACCTGTGGAGAGAGGCAGGACCCGACAGGGGCTAAGTGCATGGACCACTGCACCAGACTGCCAGGATTCACATACAGCTCTAACACTTACTAGCTGTGTGACCTTTGAGTAGTTAATTAATTAACCTCTCCAAGACGTGCTTTCCTTTCATCTGTAAAATGGGGATAAAATAGTACCTGCCCCATTGGCCTGTTACAAAGCTTCAAAGAGGATGACTATGAAGCACTCTGTACATACTCGTATGTAGCACATAGTACATAACCATCAAATCTCAGCAGTTGCCAGCGGTGGCCAGGAACCTGCTTACACCAGCTTCTGAGAGCCATCTGTGTACACTTCTCCCCAGTTTTGTGTTTATTAGCCACCTTGGTAGCTTGAAATCCACATGGTAGGAGTATTTGCACTATGGAAATCAGCAAACCTACAAGTCAGGGCTTTTTCTTCCAGAGAGCCAATTGTTTCTATTTTTCTTTGTGGCTGGCCACTATGAGGATCCAAACCCACCCTTCACCTTGGTGTTATCAACACCACACTCTAACCAAGTGAGCTAACTGGCCAGCCCCAGAGAACCAGTTGTTAAACACTTATTGGCACCCCACTGGCTGTTGCTATTGTTAACCTGTCAGGGCCTATACAAATGATATCTGTCGCTTCTGTTCTTTATAAAGATTTCCTTTTAAAAAGGTAAGTGCATCTTTTGTCACAATTGCTTTGAAAATTTATGCTGAGCTGACATTGGCAGCAAGAAGTATTCCTAAAAAAGGAGGCCGAGTTGCAGTGTCTCTTTGTCACTTGAAGAGTTAATAAGTTTATGTTACCAAATTCAGAGATTTCCATTCTACTTTAAGATAGTTAAAGGTGTTTGTGTCCCTGATTTATGCCAGATGTTATTTTCCCAGACATTATTTTCCACTGTTTGTGCTGTGTATTAGAAAGAGGCAGGACAGAATGAATAGGCACTTTGCCTGAAGTATAATTCTTTATCTAACTGTGATTCTTCAACTGATTTTACTATTTTTAAAAGTAGAGTAAAGATTAAAGCTTAAAGATTAAGCTTTTACAGCAAAACTGTACATTTACGATAGAGTGCAGGGAGGCCTATTAGTAGCTAGGTGGTTGAGGTGGTGGAGGTGGTATTCTAATTTCCTTGGATGGGATGAGATGTTACAGAGGAAACTCAAGGCGGAGCCCCAGGCCCAGAAGTACTGAAACCCTTGCAGGCAGCTGAGGCCCCCCAAACAAGGGGAAGGCCTTCTACTATAGCTAAAGCCCGAGGTCATGCTGGATCCAGGAACTGGACAACCTAGGTTTGAACCCCATTCTACCACTTTGTAGCTGAGTGACCCTGTGTAGACATTTAATATCTCTGACTCCCACTTTCCTCTTCTTTAAAATAGGGATAATAATTCCTCCCTCACAGGGTTGTTGTGAGGGTTAAATGAGACAGTGCACGTATCTGGCACATCGTAATCCCTTAATAAGCGATAGCTGTAATTATTATTTATACTGACCTGATTTACTCTGAGCTGCTCAGGAAAGTGATTCACCACCATTTAATAAATGAATCCCTGCTCTCTTCTGCCTGGATAATCCCTTAATAAGCGATAGCTGTAATTATTATTTATACTGACCTGATTTACTCTAAGCTGCTCAGGAAAGTGATTCACCACCATTTAATAAATGAATCCCTGCTCTCTTCTGCCTGGAGGATGCTGCACAGAGCTGCTCACTGAGAAGCAGCTTGACTGCATGTCATTGCCTGTAGTTAGTATTATCTGTCCTATGACTCGGTGTGTGTCTTATGTTTGAAACCACTATTTGCTATTCTGATATGTTTATTAGAAAGAGGCAGGACAGAATGAATTGACTGTTTGCCTGAAGTACAGTTCTTTAACTGTGGTTCTTCAACTAGATTTGTCTTATTTTTTCCTTATGCCAACTTATTTTGGACAGTTAGTGAATGCGGGCAAATCGCACTCACTGATTGTGAGTGCTGGCACCTAGAATTTTTTACTCCTGTTTCAGTTGGTCTGTTTAATGTGACAAGCCATCTTTTTGGGGTGTTGTAGTGGATTGAATTATGTCCCCCCAGAACTCCTCGAAGCTTGAATTGTGTCCCCCAAGTTTTATGTATTAGAAACTTAGCCCCACTGTGACTGTTAAGAGGGTGGGAAATCCTATTATGGTAATTGAAAGGTGGAGCCTCGAGGAGGTGATGGATTGTAGAGCCGTGCAGTAGGGAATGGATTAAAAATGGTGGTCAGGGGCATGTTTCTGAGGGCTTTAAAAAGTGAGTGAATGAGGAGGTTACTCTCTCTGCTTCCACCATCTTGCAATGTGAGACACCTGGGTCACTGTTGCTACCACCAGATAGACTTTTTACTTCCCGTCCACAGAAACTGTAAGCAATAGGGGCCAGCCCGGTGGCGCACTGCTACAGTGCGCCGCTTGGGAAGCACGGCGGCGCTCCCGCCGAGGGTTCGGATCCCACATACAGACCGGCCGCTCACTGGCTGAGCGAGGTGCGGG